GTAGATGCTGTTAATCTCTATGTGTCTGTTAATTGCTGCCTTGTCTGAATGCCAGGCTTCCCACTGAAGATGTTACCTAGCTGGGTAATGAAACGTTGCAAGAAAAGAACCAAGCTCAGAGAACCCCAAGGACTCCAAAAATTGGATTGTTTTCCAAATTACCATTTCAACATCTGAACTGAACTGTGTGGTTGATACATGACCGTAACTTTTAACAATTTTCTAAAAAAAGCAGTCAGGTATTTTTTAATGGATAAAATATGAATTCCTTGTTTACATCCCTATAAAATCTACATGCTACATGTGAATACTTTATTTCTGTTACAGTTTTTAAAACTGTACTTTAAAATGAGTTATTGAAATACTATTTCTTCCAATATGTTATGAGCTAACAATATTTTCAACCTGAAATATAATGACATTCAGTATCAGTAATAACCAGATTTTTATTTATTTCATTTTGTCCCAAACCACACCTAAAATAGGAGGCAAAAGATCCTAATCTTTCATCTCCCTACCACTGTCACTATACCTCCATCTGCTCTTGGCTGGCAGGGGAAGCTAATTTGGCTACAATTATCAAGCTTTTATCTTATGCTGCATGGGCACTCAGACATGAAACAGTGGGCACTGCAAAGCAATGTGGCTAATGCATCTCTCTTTTACCATATGTGCCTTCTATCATGCCAGATGACAGTAGAGCAATGCCAATTTGATTCTAAACTAAGCTCTCCTTAGATTATAGTGAGGGCAGCATCTACTCAGTGCCAAACAAAAGTCTAAAATCTCTGCCAAGGAAACATGGAATCTGCATACATTTGCATATATTTGCACAGCTAGGTATTTCTTTTTTGTTTCCAAGATTCAGATTTCCCAAATAGCAAAAGAAAGTGTAAGTAAGAAGACTGAACACTTAGTCCATGTGGCACAAAATAAGGGAAAAGGAATGAATTGAAGGAATAGAATGGAAAGGTATTTATTTAAATTTCTACCCAGCTCAGGCCATTAGGTACTGAGTCAGGATTGATTCATTAATGCCTACAATTTAAATGGATTTTGGAAGTGTAAAATCTGAAAGCTACCTCTAAATGGGCTTTTATACCCAAACATTGTTTCTGTCAATTGCCTTAATAGTCAGAATACACCTCAAAGTATTCAAGGCCCATATAGTTTTAAATGTTTTTCAACATCAGTGCTCCATACATTTTCAGTCTTTTCCCAATTTCCCAGCCTTTTCGTTCAACACCTGGAGTTCTAGCCTGTCGCTCAGCAGACCTAAATAAGTTTCCTTTCATCCATACTTTATATCCAATCTCCAGCTGTTATATTAACACAATAGCTCCTCCAGATAAAGGAGCAGTGTGAGACAGCTGCTCCTGCAGCTCAGACTGTATTATAAGCACATGTCTGTTCTAACAACAGGCTCCAGAGCTGGTAGGCTCAACTCAACCTTGCACAGTTACAAGTGAAAGCTTCAAAAGTGCATTTTACTAATGAACCTGTAACGGAATGGTCTTCTGTCAACATTGGCTGACTCCATGATGCCACTGTTGCAAGTTGTTTTACTTTAAATGCTCCAAATCTTCAGTGTTCTAGATTTAAGATCTGACGCTGCATAGTTATCCTTTTTGTGTACTTTGCTTTTTCTGCTTAGATTTTTGCCATCCCAACAAATACATGCACTACACACTGATGTATTATTAAACAGTCACAGACCACATGGAAATATATTTATGAGCTGTATTTTAAGTTCTAAATGTATTCTTCCCTTAAATTAGGTTGCTACAAACGAGTCTGTAGGAAATACCATATATATCCTTAGATAGAATAAGGAGAAAAAATTCAATGCCTAAATGCATTTTCGCATGTGCTCATGGCAAAAAAGACATCCTACAGATCATATGGAATATGTTTTTCCCTATACAAATTATATTTCAGTTTAGAAAAAGTCAATGAATGAAACAGTCATACAGTTTTCTGCATGCTGCACGGAATTCATAAGCTCTTCCACAGCTGTGGGAAAAAAGCAAAGAACTCTGAATCATAAGACTGAGTGCCTGGGTTCCAGAGGGCATGACTGTAGATACCTGCCTATTGGAGGTGCTTTAAATCTCTATTATATTTATAGCAAAGATATATTACAAATGTAGCATGTCCCCCTTTGCACCATGTAATCGGCAAGATTATTTTCACTGCACAGGTACTATGAAAATATATAATAGAGAGCTGTATAAGATACAGTTAATTATTCAACATACATGGCTGCTATAAATATATATGAATCTTGCTCATGTCTTTTAAGGAGCCCAGTAATAATGCAGTATGCTATATCTCTACCATCACTGTTTTCAGCCTAACCTTATTGTATCCAGCAGTATTCCCGAAGCAGTGTTAACCACTTAAGCAAAATCATATAAACCACAGTGCTAAAAAAGGAAAACACGGTGGCATACTACAGCACAGAACTACAATAAAATTAACTAATCTAAAAGTCTAAGGGTCTTTATTAAAAAAATTTTTAAAAATTCTCTTGGCATCCAAAGCATGCCAAACAGTAGGTGAACCCTGTGGGGACAGAAATCCACAGCTAAAAAGCCTGGTTTCAAGATACCACAAGTGTTATCTTTTACCACAGCAAAATTCACAGAAAGGCCTCTAAGGAAATCTTCATACAGTACATGGGCAGATTCACAGATAACATGGGATCTGTAAAGTACCAAGCTATAATAAGCTAATGCTGTTGTTTTTGGATTGATGAAGTGTGCTCCCTTAGGTCAGTCCTAGTGCTAATGTATTTATGCCAATCATAATTTTCAAATAGTCTTTACAGGTAGCAGATGTATGGATAACATGTGAAGGAGTCCTCAGAAACTAAATGAAAGACATCAGGAGGACAACATTCACCACTTCCAAGATTAAATATATTTCTTTTTAAAAAATTTTTTTAAAGAATTTCCTTTAAACAAGCATCTGATTCTAGTACAACAAAAAAC